AAATTCAGGCTTCCAGCCTGAACGACGCAGGGCCTGGAAAATGGCCCTCCTGTGCAGGCGCAGCATGTAACACCCCCCCCTCCTTATGAAGTCAAGCCGGGTCGAGGGCGCAGCCGACGATYTGAAGGTGGAACCTGGACRCGGTTGCGGCGKKGAGCCGAAGATACCGGCTTGCCTTGCATCTTTTGTTCATACCGTACGAGAACATCTGGAGCTGTCGCTTGGAGTTCCGCACGGGTCAACCAGCGGTCGGCTCGGTGGGTGCAATACGCAAAGTGTACCAGATACTCGGTCGGCTTGTTGCCGTAGCGTCGTTGGGAAATGATGTCACCGACCTCCTGAAAGCCGTCCATAGAGGGTGGGTCTTGCGATCGTCGTCCGGGAAAGTCATCCTGGTCTGCTGGTGTGTACAGCGCCAACTTGGAGCAATGGAAAACCGGGTAGACGGGAAAGTGGGCGGGCACCTGAACTGTGAAGGAAGGTCCCTCAGGTGCATCCCCAGCAGGTGCTACAATCGGCCATGGCCCCATCCATTTCGGGAGGAGCTTGGGAAAGATATCCTGCTCAAGGCTGAATTCCGCGGCGGAAACCCACACGAGGTCGCCAACGCGGAATGGACAAGGAAGACGCTGGCGATTGGCCTGCTGGCTCATGCGTTGCTGCGTCTTTGCCATCTGATTGCGTGCCTTGACAAGAAGCTCTTGCATCCGACGCAAGAAAAGGAGATGGTGGTCGCTCTCGGCCGTGTGTGGAACGATGGTGTCCAACGGAGAAGTGACCGGAGAGCCATGCTCAAACTCGAAAGGCGACATCCCAATAGCCGGGTGGATGGACGAATTGTAGGCCAATTCGACATCCGGCAGCCGCTCAACCCAATCCTTCTGATCGGGACGGATGAGAGTGCGAAGGAGAACCTGTGCCGTCTGGTGCGCCCTCTCCGTCTGGCCATCCGTCTGAGGGTGGCGAGCTGAACTAGGCTTGAGAGATGAGCCCCATCGTTTGGTGAGCGCCAACCAAAAATCAGACATGAACCGAGTGTCGCGGTCGCAGACGATTTCCTTGGGGTAACCCTTGGTTCGAATCCAACCAGCGTAGAGAACCTCGGCCAACTCTGGTGCCTTGCCATGATAGCGACAAGGCAAAAACATGGCAAACTTGGTGAGTCGATCGACTACCGTGAGAATCCCATCCACACCGGTCTTGTGCTTGGGGAATGGCGTAGTGATATCCATGGCAATCGCCTCCCGTCGGCGCAAGGGAACCGGTAGTGGTCGCAACTCGCCATACGGACGATGATTGCGGGATTTGCAACGTCGGCAAATCTCGCATGACTCGCAGTAGCGTGTGAGGTCGTCGAGAAGACCGGGCCACCAAAATCGCTCGCGAAGTCGGCCAATCGTTCGATTGACGCCAAAATGTCCGGTGGCAGGAGCATCGTGGAACTCGCCAAGAAGCCGTGTACGCAAGTGAGGGTCACTCGGTACGCAAAGAAGATCCTTCCCCCGCGAGTGGACAAGCAAATATCCCTCCTCGATCCGATAGTGAGAAGGTGCCGGATTGGGCGAGGAACAATTTGCGTACTTGTCGCGAAACTCGGGGTCAGCCTGGTAGCCGCGGATAAAATTGTCCCGCAAGTCGTTATCAATCTCGAAAGTCGAGTAGACGGCGGTGCAATGGTCCGAACGTCGTGAAAGAGCATCCGCAAAACGGTTTGACTTGCTCAGAATGTGATCGGGGAAGAAGTCAAACTGGTCAATGAAGGCCATCCACCGCGCAATGGTGCTGTTGACTGTGTCCTGGGTCTTGTAAAAGACCAACGGATTGTTGTCCGTTACCCATCGGAACTGCCGTATACCAAGAAGGAAATGCCGCCAGCGCTTGAGTGCGTGTACGAAGGCCAATAATTCCTTCTTCCTCGCGTCATCAATAGAGTGCACAGCGGGCACCTTCTTGCTGAAATACTCGACCGGGTGCCAGTCCACGCCATCGTGTTGCTCGAGAACAGCGCCAATACCATAGCCGGACGCATCAGTAGTGACGCGTGTGGGCAATAGCGGGTCGTAGATTCGCAAGACCTCCGCTGACAAAAGTGCAGCTTTGAGAGCCAAGAAAGATTCCCGCGCATCCTCGTYGAAGTCAAACGGCCGATCCTCGCATTGAAGCTTGGTCAAGTGGGCCGCGATCTTCGAATAGCCCTTGATGAAGCGCTGATAGTAGCTGGCAAGACCAAGAAACGAACGAACATCCGTGACGTTACGCGGCTCCGGCCACTCCTGGATGGCTTGAATTTTCTCCGATAGCGGGCTGATGCCCTCTGGTGTGACAAAATGGCCCAAGTACTCAAGCTCTTGCCGGACAAACTCGCACTTGTCGCGGTTGGCTTGGTACTTGGCATGGCGGAGCGTCTCCAACACACGTCGAAGATGCTCAAGATGGTCCTCCAGAGTCCGGCTGTAGACGAGAATGTCGTCTAGGTAGACCAGCACGAACCGATCCAACATAGCACGGAACTCGTGGGTCATGGCCGCCTGGAAGGTTGCCGGGGCATTGGTGAGGCCAAAAGGCATGACCACCCACTCAAAATGCCCATGCCGCGTCTTGAATGCGGTCTTGTAGCAATCATTCGGGCGTATCGAAATCTGATGATACCCCGACTTCAAGTCCAACTTGGAAAAGAACTTAGCACCGCCCAGTCGCTCAAGAAGATCGTCGATACGAGGAAGAGGCCCCGCATTTTTCACAGTTTGCGCGTTGAGCTTGCGGTAGTTGATGCACAGACGTAGATCCTTGTTCTTCTTCCTTACGAAGAGAACTGGTGCTCCATATGGGGAGCTGCTAGGGCGGATCCAGCCCTTGGCCAACAAGTCGTCGAGTTGTGCGCG